CTTTAGTGTTAATTTCACTGTTTCTGCTTTTGACCATATCTTTCAAATCAATTGCACTGTTTAAAACAAAATTGACCCCAGGAAACTCGTTTACCCAATGATCTTTCATTAAAAAAATAATTTTTTATAATTATTTATTATTTTTAATGATTTAATTTAATTTTTTACAAAGAAATTTTGATCTATGAGGCATAAATTTTTTATGCAATAATAATCTGTATTTTTCTATGGAGAAAGTTGTTTTTATTTAGTAGAAGTTGAAAAAAATTCAAATTAATTACTTTAAAAAAATAATTTGGCGACAATGAAAAAATATTGCCTGCATTGTTTGAACTAAGTTAAAAACATAATTAGGATAAACAGTTTGATTAAGTTGTTTCTTATCAGTAATAAGATCGGAAGGTAATTGCAGTGTAGTACCATATACTAATTTGGCAAGTGTTGCATTAATATCAATGTTGTGTAATAAATCCGAGTGCAACCTGTAGTATTTCTGAGTTTTCTAAATAGACTAGTTTCGAAATTAGATTCCTGATCAGTAGTGATAGTGACTGGGCAACTAAATCTGGACATCCAAACATGCAATAGGGCTTGTGCTGTTATTTCCGTAGAAAGATCAGGTTTTGGAATGACTTCAAGCCATCTTGAAAATCAGTCAATGATTGTAAAACAATACTGACTACCATCAGATGGGGAAAGTTGGCAAATGAAGTCTAAATGAATTTGAGCAAAGCGAACATCCGGTACAGTAAATATACTTATAGGAGATTTGGTGTGTCTTGTAATTTTTGCTTTTTGACAATTATTGGAATTACGAACCATAGATTCAATATCATTGTGCGTTCCCTGGTCATAAGAATCTTTTCAAAATTGGATTGATTGAGGCTGACATATCAGGATAGAGAAAAAATTTGCATTTTCAAAAACTTTTTAATGTAAACTTAAAAGAACAAATGGGCGGGGATGTTTTAAAAACATATCACAATATAAATTTATATCCTCAATACGAAAATAATGTTTTTTTAATTTTGAAGATGTGCTATATGATTGCAAAATTGTTTGAAGTTCTGTATCTGTTGATGGAGCTGAAGCAAATTCTTCATAATTAATAATCGTTGGAGAAATTTGATATATCTCGATTCGAGATAATGCATCAGGTACTTGATTTTCAGAGCATTTCATGCACCTACGATAGAAAATTGTGATACATATATTCTAGGTGACAAAGTTGGGGGGCTATATTTGTCAAGATTTTGGTGGACAGCAAAAATTAAAGGTTTGTTATTCAAGTAATGTCAAAATTTCTTTATAGAAGAATATTTGGCATATAATTCACGGTTATATGTTGATTGATTTCTTTAGGATTTGTTCAATTTTGCCGAATAAAATTCTTTTGGATCCCATTGATTGTCAGAGATTTGTTTTACAGAGCCACTTATAGCGACCTTTGACGCATCCTCCCCACAAGCTTTATTAGGCTTCAAGAATAAGGTGGCGCAGAAGTGTAGCATTAGAAATAGCTTCTTCTGATTTTGTAATTACAATATTTGTTTCATCGTTCCATTCTAATTGCTTGGCTGATTTTCGAGCTTTGGAACGAGGATGTTTTTAAGATTTTCATGCACTCTTAAAGTAATTTAACTATGGGTGATAAAATGTCTTCAGCTCTGGGGATAAATCTTACATAAAAATTAAATATACCTAAATATCTACAAAACTACAAAATAGGGTTAAAGTTGAGGGTCGAGGTAATTTTAAATTGCTTCATTGTGGACACAAATTGGCGGAAGACCATCTTTAGATACTGTGAAGCCTAAAAATTCTAATTATGAAATACCAAATATACATTTAGAAGGTTTAATTGTTAGCCCATAATAGGCAAGTCTAGAAAATGGAGCTTTAGAATGTTTTAAATGGTCTTCTAGAGACTTTGTGGCAATTAATATATCATTGACAAATTGCATAAACACCATCTAAACATCTAGTCACCTCATCATTGAAATCTGCTAAAAAAATTACACAAACTTTTTGTGAAGATCTTCAGAAGCAATCTGAATTTGGTAGATAGCTTTTACTAATTCTATTTGGGAAAAAATAGTTCCGTTCAGCTGACTGGTAAAATCAACAATGCTCAAAATGGGATATTTGATCTTTTTTAGTATGAACATTGAGTGCTTTGAAATCACCGACTGTACGCCAGTCACTGCTGTTCTTTTTCGGAATCATGTGTGGTGGAGAAGCATAGTTACTGTTGGATGAGCGCATGTGACCCAAATCCAACATATTCTGGAATTCCATTGTAACTGTTTTTAGCCTATAACGAATGACAAGGTGTGGTTTGGCATACACAGCTTGGCCAAAAGTATCACTATGATGTTGTACAGAATGTTTAATAATTTGGTCAGCACTTGGAGATTCACTGATGCTAGGATATTAACTTAAAATTTTATAAAAATGTCATTACTTACAGCTGTTTTAATAGAATAAATATCAGAATTCTAAAATACACAATGAGATCTCAAATGAGTTTCAATACCTAATAAGGCACATTTTCTAAGATCTCATTTTAAATTAAAGTAATGCAGGAAATTGATATCTAAAATGGAAGTTGAAACATTGCATTTGTAAAAAGGACGCACAGAGTGTCTTCGTAGGCAGAGCCATTTTTAAGGATGGGCCCTGGCTCAGGACCCACAGTTCTGATGGGGCCCACAAGAAGTCTTACGATCTCCTTTCATTAATTTTTTTTAAAATTCTAACTCATTTATTATTTATAACTTAAGAGGACCCCCAGATCCCACTTTTTTCATTTTTTTAAAAAGTTCGTGAGAATGGGAGTTCGAATTCAGCCGACCGAATAATACCAATGTATAGAATGGTGACTGGTGCATGTTAAATCTGTCGGGGTCATAAACTCCTCCAAGTCCTCATAACAATTCAATACCTCTGGGTACTGATCCAGGAGTTTCCTTGTCTTCTGGATTGGTTTTAAAATTTCAAGGCAACATAGTTAAGCATTGGCTCAAAGTTGAGTCAGTTTTTCAACGGCGATTATAAAAAAAACTAATAATCAAACTGTATTTTCTTGTATTCTTTCTAACTCCTTGCATATTTTCTACACACCTTCATAATTTGATGTTTCTAAGTCTTACAGATTTTGCATTGCAAAGCAAAATGTATGTCTTACAGGAAATTGATTTTGATGATGTGATAGAGGATTCTTCGCGAAAAATATTGTTACCTTAAATTTTCGATAAAAATAATGTATATACACTTTTATAATTAATTTATATGTTTTTTACTCTTAAAATTAAAAATTTTTTAAAAATTATTCAAAATAATTTTTTTTTCTCTAAATTTACTTATAAAGGGCCCCCAGATAATGACAGGCCCAAAGCCCCTATAAACATAAAAACGGCTCTGTTCGTAAGCCTAAATCAATAGATAATAATTTCACTTTATAAACATTAATGGAAGTTCCATGTGCTGCTATTAATTTTAGAATTGGAGCAGACATTTTATCAATTTTTGATCATACATAAATTGCTTTTTCAATCTCTTGCAAAAAAGTGACGAGAAGTTAATGTCAAGGGGTATGTCTCCGCTACTCCTTGCACTGGTCGTTTGACTCCATATAATTACAGGAAGGAGGAATACATTTATGAGCTTCAGAGTTAAATTTTCTATGATACGAACAGAGTTTATTAAAACTGAGGCTTTTCTGCCGAGAATGATTTCTATATTAAATGATGGAAACACTTCTAAATAAAAAGTTATGAACTGGAGTTGGCAAGGAATTAAACCTCGCTAAAAAATTAAAAAACATTTTGCTATTTCTAAATTACTTGGTGTAAAACGGAATGATCATATTTATTAAACACACCCTTTTCATGGAAGAATGAAGAGACAAATTATTTAATGTTTCTTATTTCTTAAAGTTATAAAAAGTAAATGTATACTGAAATAATGCAAGAAACTACAACAGTTTGCTTTGTTTTTTAATTGAGCAAAACATTCTTGAATTTTATTTTGACATTCAAAGTTAACCTCACTAAGTTTAAGAAAACTATCCTTTTCAAATAAGATAATGTTAAAATAATTTACTTTAAAATGTTGTTAATATTTTTTCTTAACTTTAGCACAATTCATAAGATGTAATTATAGCATAATTTGACATTAGATAAATTTCTTAATATGCCTTATTTTGCTTAACAGCAAATAATAAAAATTGAAAATAGTTTAAAAATTTCAAAGCTAAGCTATTTTTAAAATCATCATCACAAAAAATTGTTCTTTTTTCAACTTAAGTTTTTCTGTTTTCGTCATAATTAGACAAGAATGTAAATGCACCATTGAACTGTCACAATTTCATTTATCTCAGAATTCAAAACCGTTAGGCTGAAACTCTTTATTGCTTGACTTATTTAAACTTAGTATTATATTTTTAGAGGTCAGTAGCAAGAATGAGAAAAAGTAATGAAAAGTCCAGTTTACTATCATACTATTGATGCATTAAGTCATATAACCTGATTTAATTTGCTGTAAATAAGAAAAAAATAAGGGTGAAAAGAATAAAATTTACTAAAACATGGCCAAACATATTTTAAATTATACCTGGAATGAAATTTGGAAAATATGTTTTCAAGCAATTTCAATAGGTGGGAGATGTTAACTTGTTTGAAATAATTGGCCGTGTAACTGTTTAACTTTGATTCCTGGTGACATTCCATTGTCTCATTCTACTTCTAAAATTTGAATTACAAATGCAATTTTTTGTTCCCTTCAAAAATGTTTTTAAGGCTAGCAGGAAAAAGAATTGTACTACATTAATCATATAGTAAATTATAACTAATTATTATAAATTTTTACTTAGAGCCTATGATGTATATTCTAAATATACATCTAAATACAATGTATAGTTTGTCATACTAAATTCTCGCTGCCTTCTATTTATTAAATAATTGGACTTTTGAAATTTATTGTTATATTATTTTTTACAGGAAATAAAATCCGAATATGACAAGAAGAAATCTGCAGATTTATTGAGCGAGGTAAGCAAAATATCGTATGAACTAATTCTGTAGTGTTTTTTCAATTGGTTAGTATAGAAATTTTCTTTTGACATGATATTACAAAATGTATCAACAAAAACTTCAAACTTGCTCGTTTGAAGAATAACTTCGTTAAGGATTTGTAGAGCAAATTCTTGATGGTTTTCAAATTGTACTTCTATATAATTGAATTTTCCAATATAAAGAGGCATTTCATATCAAAATTGATTTTGTTGGTTTTATACATTTATTTCTGCTAATAGAATAATAGATTGGGAAATAGTAAGAACGAATGTGCTGAGAACAAACTAATTTATTTCGGGACTACTTGTAAGTGATGAAACTAAAGTTTCTGGGATACTGAAAAATATGAATACTTTCAAATGCAGTATTTAATATGCATGATACTGGATACAAGTGTAATTCAATTTTGAATTTAAGTTATCCAATTCATATTTCCTTTTATAAGGGCCAAATTTAAATTGTTTTATTACTGCATATTTCATTTCTTCAAGTTGCAATTTCAGAATTTATGTATATTTCAAATTCAAATAATTCTCTTCTATGAGAAGTGACCCAACAATTTTTTAAAAAAAAACTTTCTGCAATGGATTATTATATGAATTAGTGATTTTTATTTTTCAACCAATTACTTCATAATTGAATGTTTTTTCTAATGTGATATGTGTAACTAAATGTTTTTTTATTCTATTATTATTCATCTGATACAAAAAGGTTATACTGTGTTTTATTTTTTTTTAAATTATCAAATAATCTTTTAAGTAAATTTTTTTTCAAACTCTTCTGAGATTATTATTTTAAAGTTTTATTTTGAATTACTAGAAATTAGCTATTTCCAGGAATTTTTCTATTTACTGTAAAATGTTTGTATTGTAAATGCAGTGTAGGTGATTTTTTTTTATTCATTCCTTTCTACTTAATATTCATAATTCATTTTTTAAAATTTCTTTTAAAAGTATTGTTAATGTGATAAGAATTGTGAAATTGATTAGAGGGAAATCAATTTGTTATTTTCTTGAAATAAAGATTTAATTTAATTTTAATTTTTGGCAGTTTTTTATTCTCTCTATATGAATTTTTCTTCAGTTATTTTTTTTAGTGTGTTTTACTGTAAGTTCTCACTCTTTCTCCCATTGATCAAAATTTTATATTCAGACATTGCTGTTTTCTTTTAATCTGAATCATAAAATTAACGAATTTTAGATGGAATTAATTACATTAATTTTAAGCAGAATTTTGTAAGAAAAACTTAGATATAAATTGAATTAAAAATCATCTCTTACTAATTTAAGGAATGAAAGCATTTTAGAATTTTTTTATTTGTTGAGATTGAAGAAAAATGGTTCCAAGTATATGCTCTCTTTGTAAGAGTTGAATTATATAGGTAAGGAATTAACGTGTAAACTATGTGTAAACTACATGTAATGTAATAAAAATGTATGATGGTATTATTTTAATTTATTTTGTCAAAGATGTAAATTATGAATTATTTAATAACTGTTAATGTAATAGCGAAGTTAATGCCATTCACCTATTACTGCTTTTGAATAATACATATGCTAATATTATTTCGATTTAAAAGTTCAATTTGTGTTTACTTTTTGTACAATCTAAATATAATGATGCTGTTAAAGTTATAAAAATTTTGGTTATCAGTTAATATTTAATTATTGGATGTTTGAATGACATTTTTTAAACAAATGCTATAAAACTGATAACATAATGGGTGCTATTAATTATAAGTTGTAGAACAAGTAATTCTTTATTCATAATTCAGTTTTAAACTACTGTCTATATGTATTTTGTCACAGTCTTATATTCTTAATGTGTTTGGTTCCAATGCTCTAATTTTGTTTAAAAAAAATCATTTGAAGAGAAAAGCAATGTTGTGATATAGATAGTCTTGTTATGACTTGATTCAAAATTCTAACTTAACATGGTTTATATAAATGTTCAGAAAAAAGTTATTTATGTAAAGTTTTTAACTTTTCTGTCTTAAATTTTATTCTTAATGTTGGATAAATCTACTTCGCCTGAACTTTGGTTACATAAAAAGCTTTTACAGGAAGAAAACTCTAATGATTCAAATGCAAATAAGAACTCATACCCAGACTCCAGTGATATTATTCCAGAAGTAAGTCTAACTTAAAATATTATTATTAAAATTTGTTCCATTTATGAGCCTGGTGTTCATCATCATATTTCAATTTGTGCTTACTTTTTATACAATCTAAATATAATGATGCTAGAAAGTTGAAGTTTTATAAAAATTTTGCATATTAGTTAATATTTAATTATTGGATGTTTGAATGACTTTTTTAAGCAAATGCTTGTCTATTATGTATTTTGTCACTGTCTTGCATTCTTAAAATGTTTGTTTCCAATGCTCTACTTTTGTTAAAAAAATCATCAAGTGAAAAGTAATGTTGTAATATAGATCGTCTTGTTAAAACTTGACTCAAATTTTTGTCTTCACCTGGTTTATATAAATGTTCAGACAAAAGTTATTTAATTAAAGCTTTTAACTTTCTCTGAAATTCTAATTTTAATGTTCGATATATCTACTTTGTCTTAACTTTTCTTACATAAAAGGCTTTTGCAGGTAGAAAACTGTAATTTAATTGCAAATGAGAACTCATCATACCCAGAGTGTATTAAGGTGGTTCAAGAGGTAAGTCTAACTTCTAATATTCTTATTAAGATTTGGTGAATTTAGGAGCCTGGTGTTCATCATCATATTTCAATTTGTGCTTACTTTTTTTACAATCTAAATATAATGATGCTAGAATGTTGAACTTTTGTAAAAATTTAGGATATCAGTTAATATTTAATCAGTTAATATTTAAAAAGTTTTTAACTTTTCTGTCTTAAATTTTATTCTTAATGTTTGATAAATCTACTTTGTCTTCACTTTGGTTACATGAAAGGCTTTTGCAGGAAGAAAACTCTAATGATTTAAATGCAGAGGATAACTCTATATACAACCAAATATACATTGATATTAGTTCAGAAGTAAGTTTAACTACAAATATTCTTATTAAAATTTGTTAAATTTAAGTGCCTGGTTTTCATCATCATATTTCGATTTGTGCTTACTTTTTTATACAATCTAAATATAATAATGATGCTAGAATGTTGAAGTTTTGTAAAAATTTTGGATATTAGTTAATATTTAATTATTGGATGTTTGAATGACTTTTTTAAGCAAATGCTTGTCTATTATGTATTTTGTAACTGTCTTGCATTCTTAAAATGTTTGTTTCCAATGCTCTAATTTTGTTAAAAAAATCATCAAGTGAAAAGTAATGTTGTAATATAGATCGTCTTGTTAAAACTTGACTCAAATTTTTGTCTTCACCTGGTTTATATAAATGTTCAGACAAAAGTTATTTAATTAAAGCTTTTAACTTTCTCTGAAATTCTAATTTTAATGTTCGATATATCTACTTTGTCTTAACTTTTCTTACATAAAAGGCTTTTGCAGGTAGAAAACTGTAATTTAATTGCAAATGAGAACTCATCATACCCAGAGTGTATTAAGGTGGTTCAAGAGGTAAGTCTAACTTCTAATATTCTTATTAAGATTTGGTGAATTTAGGAGCCTGGTGTTCATCATCATATTTCAATTTGTGCTTACTTTTTTTACAATCTAAATATAATGATGCTAGAATGTTGAACTTTTGTAAAAATTTAGGATATCAGTTAATATTTAATCAGTTAATATTTAAAAAGTTTTTAACTTTTCTGTCTTAAATTTTATTCTTAATGTTTGATAAATCTACTTTGTCTTCACTTTGGTTACATGAAAGGCTTTTGCAGGAAGAAAACTCTAATGATTTAAATGCAGAGGATAACTCTATATACAACCAAATATACATTGATATTAGTTCAGAAGTAAGTTTAACTACAAATATTCTTATTAAAATTTGTTAAATTTAAGTGCCTGGTTTTCATCATCATATTTCGATTTGTGCTTACTTTTTTATACAATCTAAATATAATAATGATTCTAGAATGTTGAAGTTATGTAAAAATTTTGGATATTTGTTAATAATTAATTATTGGATGTTTGAATGACTTTTTTTAAACAAATGTTAAGAAACTGATAGCATAATGTGTGCTGTTAATTAAAAGTTGTAGAAAAGTAATACTTTATTCAAAATTGAGTTTCAAACTATGGCCTATATGTATTTTGTCACAGTCTTATGTTCTTAATATGTTTGGCTAATTTTGTTTAAAAAAATCATTTCAAGAGAAAAGTAATGTTGTGATATAGATAGTCTTTTATGACTTGACTCAAAATTTTGTCTTAACATGGTTTATATAAATGTTCAGAAAAAAGTTATTTATGTAAAGTTTTTAACTTTTTTGTCTTAAATTTTATTCTTAATGTTTGATAAGTCTCCTTTGTCTTCACTTTGGTTACATAAAAGGCTTTTGCAGGAAGAAAACTCTAATGGTTTAAATGCAAAGGATAACTCTATATGCAACCAAATATACAGTGATATTAGTTCAGAAGTAAGTCTAACTTCAAATATTCTTATTAAAATTTGTTAAATTTAGGTGCCTGGTTTTCATCATCATATTTCGATTTGTGCTTACTTTTTTATACAATCTAAATATAATAATGATGCTAGAATGTTGAAGTTTTGTAAAAATTTTAGATATTAGTTAATAATTAATTATTGAATGTTTGAATGACTTTTTTTAAACAAATGTTGAAAAACTGATAACATAATGTGTGCTGTTAATTAAAAGTTGTAGAAAAGTAATAATTTATTCAAAATTCAGTTTTAAACTATGACCTATATGTATTTTGTCACAGTCTTATGTTCTTAATATGTTTGGCTATTTTTGTTTAAAAAAATCATTTCAAGAGAAAAGTAATGTTGTGATATAGATCGTCTTTTATGACTTGACTCAAAATTTTGCCTTAACATGGTTTATATAAATGTTCAGAAAAAAGTTATTTATGTAAAGTTTTTAACTTTTTTGTCTTAAATTTTATTCTTAATGTTTGATAAGTCTCCTTTGTCTTCACTTTGGTTACATAAAAGGCTTTTGCAGGAAGAAAACTCTAATGGTTTAAATGCAAAGGATAACTCTATATGCAACCAAATATACAGTGATATTAGTTCAGAAGTAAGTCTAACTTCAAATATTCTTATTAAAATTTGTTAAATTTAGGTTCCTGGTTTTCATCATCATATTTCGATTTGTGCTTACTTTTTTATACCGTCTAAATATAATAATGATGCTAGAATGTTGAAGTTTTGTAAAAATTTTGGATATTAGTTAATAATTAATTATTGGATGTTTAAATGACTTTTTTTAAACAAATGTTAAAAAACTGATAACATAATGTGTGCTGTTAGTTAAAAGTTGTAGGAAAGTAATACTTTATTCAAAATTCAGTTTTAAACTATGGCCTGTATGTATTTTGTCACAGTCTTATGTTCTTAATATGTTTGGTTCCAATGCTCTAATTTTGTTAAAATAAATCATTTCAAGAGAAAAATAATGTTGTTATATAGTCTTGTTATGACTTGACTCAAAATTCTATCTTAACATAATTTATGTAAATATTCAGAAAAAAGTTATTTATGTAAAGCTTTTAGCTTTTCTGTCTAAAATTTTATTCTTCATGTTTGATATATCTACTTTGTCTTGACTTTGGTTACATAAAAGGCTTTTGCAGGAAGAAAACTCTAATGATTTAAATACAAAAAAGAAATCATTATACATCCCAGAATGCAGTGATATTAGTTCCGAAGTAAGTCTAACTTCAAATATTCTTATTAAAATTCGTTAAATTTAGGAGCCTGGTGTTCACCATCATATTTCGATTTTTGCTTATTTTTTATACAATTTCAATATGATGATGCTAGAATGTTGAAGTTCTGTAAACATTTTGGATATTAGTTAATATTTAATTATTGGATGTGTGAATGACTTTTTTTAAAGAAATGCTAAAAAACTGATAACATAATGTATGCTGTTAATTCAAAGTTGTAGAAAAGTAATTAATTATACAAAATACAGTTTTAAACTACTGCCTTTATGTATTTTGTCAAAGTCTTATGTTCTTAATATGTTTGGTTCCAATGCTCTAATTTTGTTAAAATAAATCATTTCAAGAGAAAAATAATGTTGTGATATAGTCTTGTTATGACTTGACTCAAAATTCTATCTTAACATGGTTTATATAAATGATCAGAAAAAAGTTATTTATGTAAAGCTTTTAGCTTTTCTGTCTAAAATTTTATTCTTCATATTTGATATATCTACTTTGTCTTGACTTTGGTTACATAAAAGGCTTTTGCAGGAAGAAAACTCTAATGATTTAAATACAAAAAAGAAATCATTATACATCCCAGAATGCAGTGATATTAGTTCAGAAGTAAGTCTAACTTCAAATATTCTTATTAAAATTTGTTAAATTTAGGAGCCTGGTGTTCAAAATCATATTTCGATTTTTACTTATTTTTTTATACAATTTAAATATGATGATGCTAGAATGTTGAAGTTCTGTAAACATTTTGGATATTAGTTAATATTTAATTATTGGATGTGTGAATGACTTTTTTTAAGGAAATGCTAAAAAACTGATAACATAATGTATGCTGTTAATTCAAAGTTGTAGAAAAGTAATTAATTATTCAAAATTCAGTTTTAAACTACTGTGTTTATGTATTTTGTCACAGTCTTATGTTCTTAATATGTTTGGTTCCAATGCTCTAATTTTGTTAAAATAAATCATTTCAAGAGAAAAATAATGTTGTGATATAATCTCAGGGGTCTGTCCAGACATTTTGTGAAAGGTCCGTTTTTGCAAAATTGTGAAAAAATTACTCATAATTTGTGAATATAAAATAAACGTTAAGTCACATTCTTTCAACCAGGGTCCGCTTTTGTGAATTTGTGCAAATAGGGTCCGTTATTGCAAAAAAACTTTTTCAAGGAGTTTTTAAATTGTAAAGACATACAAGATTATGCTGAACACTGTAAAATTATAATAAATAAAAAAAAATTGAATTTTCAAAAATAAACAGCAATTGCTGCAACTAAATGAGAGGGGCAACATACAAATATTTCGTATTTAGCTTTTACTGCTGAACGCAGAATATTTATTTCGAACGAATAAAGGAAGAAGCGTTTATCGAAGGAAGGAGAGTCTGTCGAAGACAAAACTTAGTTTGTTTACATCTGTCTCCCCCCCCTGGGAAGGTTTTATTCGATTAGCAAAACAATAATGAAGATAAACAAATTTGTGAAGGGTCCGATTAAAAGATAAATTATTTTGTGAAGGGTCCGTTTTTAAGTTAAAATATTTTGTGAAGGGTCCGTTGTTATGAAAAGATATTTTGTGAAGGGTCCGTTAACGAACCAAAATTTCTTTTAAACAGACCCCAGAGTCTTGTTATGACTTGACTTAAAATTCTATCTTAACATGGTTTATATAAATGTTCACGAAAAAGTTATTTATATAAAGTTTTTAAATTCTGTCTAAAATTTTATTCTTAATGTTTGATATATCTACTTTGTCTTGACTTTGGTTACATAAAAGGCTTTTGCAGGAAGAAAACTCTAATGATTTAAATACAAAAAACAAATCATTATACATCCCAATATGCAGTGATATTTTTCCAGAAGTAAGTCCTTAAAATATTCTTATTAAAATTTGTTCAATTTATGAGCCTGGTTTTCATCATCATATTTCAATTTGTGCTTATTTTTTATGCTATCTAAATATAATGAAACTAGTATGTTGAAGTTTTGTAAAAATTTTGGATATTAGTTAATATTTAATTACACAACCTTGCGATGAAAAAAATACAAGAGATCTGATATGCTGAAAGGAATACAATAATGAAAATTTTCCATCACATCCCATATTTTTGAAAAATTCAATTTTACTGAATTTTTTTATGAACATTTACCATAAATTGTTTTTCATTTTCGAATTAATTCTCTTCTTGCAGGACCAGCATTCTTCTTTGGTAAAATCTGCAAAAGTACCCCTCTATGACATCTTTCTCTCACTGTCCCTCTCTCTGTCACAATATCTCTCGACCATTGATGTCACAAAAATTCTTATCTTGGTTCGCTAACCTTTTAGGAATACTAGCAAGGGTAATCGGGAGTAATTTTTTGGAAGTATTTTTAACGTCTGCTTTTTTCTGTACGTTTTGTGAAACCTGGCTTCGAGTTCGAGACATTGTGAAAATTTCCCAGATGACTTTTGTTACATATGCGGTGAACATAGTGTTGTTAAAAATTGCATGAGGAGCATTACAGACTATTCGTAAGACAACTTTATCTTGCATATTTTTAGCATGAAACTCGGGCATCAGGCCAAATCGTGGGCTCCTCATAAAGTCTGTGTGATATACGCTTATGGCTCCAAGGAAAGAAGACTGCCTTATGGTTTGGAATTCCTATGACATGAAGGGAGCCTAAAAACCACTTCGATGATTGTTATTTTCGTTCCTGCCATGTTCGTGGCTATAACCGGAAAAATCAAAGGCTTATCTTATCTTGATAACATTCCATCAGCCATACGCCACGTTCCTCATGGACCTGATGTGGTTGTGCCTCCAACTGAATTGCCAGCCATCTCTTCAGAGTCTTCAGACTAGGAACATCCTGAAGTTCAAGGCTCCGATATCGAATATAAGCCATCTGTAGCCAGTTTCCTCTTTCCTTCTTTCAGGTTAAACTTAATGATCTGTCTAGATATCTGGGCCTTTCGAAAGAGGCAGTTGAATAATTGTTAGGCATCAGACTGAAAGAAAAAAACCTATTGGCCAAAGGAACATCTTTTTATTGGTGCCGGAATCGAGAAAAAGAATTTATTAAGTACTTTGATGAAGAGGAAAACTTGGTCAATTGTTCTGATGTTCCTGTAGTGATGAGCAAATTTAATGCCAACTACGATAAAGATGAGTGGAGGCTGTTTATGGATTCATCTAAAAGAAGACCAGGGCTGATTGTGCTCCGGAAAAAATCCGGATTTCCGGAATTTTCACTAACAGTGATCCGGAAGTTTCCGGAGATCGAAGGTCCAGGCGTTTCAAAAAATCATTGATCACGGAAGTTTCAGGAAATCAAATTTTCGAAGGTGGAACTTAAAAACACAGTTTATTTTATTTGTTTGTAAGGGAGAGCCGGAGAGATACTTTATAAGCTTATATTCATGATTAATATTCCATTTTTTATCAGCAAATAGTTATTATAATCATAAACTCAAGAAAGAAAGACGTATTGGTAAATTTCAATTACTTCTTCAGGTCATCATAGATATGTGTAAAATTTTAAATATATTTTAAGTAAGCTAAGAAATATTGAGAAAAAGGAAAAAAACCTTGTTTAAATTTCTTTCTAATTTTTCAATTTAAACTGCTTTTTTTTTTTANACTTTTTTTTTTAAACTCAAGAAATTTTCCGGAATTTCGACTTGGGCTCACAATCACCCCTGGAACACTGAAAGCTGTCCTTCTTCATCATAAGAGCCAGTATGCATCTATACTGGTTAGACACTTGGTATATTTAAAATAATGCTATGAAAACCTAGCTCTCGTTCTGGACAAAATAAAATATATTGACCACAGTTGAACCATTTGTGGTGATTGGAAAGCTATCTCCATGCTTCTTGTTCAACAAGGTGGATTTACAAAGTTCTCATGTTTCATTTGGGAGTGGGACAGCCAGGACAAAACTCACCATTGAATCAAAAAAGACTGGCTGAAAAGATAAAATCTTGACCCAGACTCAAAGAATATTATTTGAAACAGCTTAGTTGATTCAAAAGAGTATTGCTACCCCCTCTAAACATAAAATTAGGTGTAATGAAGCAGTTTGTTAAAAAAGATGACGATTGTTTCAAATACCTGTGCAATAAATTTCCAGGTTTTATCCAAGTTAAAAAAGGGAATCATTGTAGGTTCAGATGTCCGCAAATTCATGAAGCATAAAGCTACTGAGACTAACATGGCCACGAAAGAAAAAGAAGCTTGGGCTGCCTTCAAAAATGTTGTCAGTAAATTTCTGGGTAACTACTAGGATCCTGACTATAAAGCATTTGTAATGAAAAGGCTGGACAAATTAAAAACTTTGGATTGCTCCACGAGTGTCAAAATGCATTTCCTTTACTCACATGGTCTTTTTCCTCGAAAATGTGGGAGCAGTCAGCGAAGAACAAGGTGAAATGTTCCATTAAGATATCAGAGATAGGGAGCTTAAATATCAGGGAAGCGAGGACAAAAACATGCTCGACGACTACTGTTAGATGCTAAATCGAGATAGGCCTGAGATTAAGCATAAAAGAAGAGCACCGAAGATAAGTTTTAGTGAAAAATGAGCATGTACTTATATAGAAACGTTTTTCTTTTGTTTTGTTTTTTGTTTCAAACTTGCGTGTACACATACACAATGTTTTCTATTCTTGGTCAATCATTTATTTTACGTAAGTTACTTTAATGAAAACAAATTAAAATGGTATGTTGGTGATTTTCTTCTAGAAACTGATGTAAAAAGTTTCAATTCAAGGAACTTATTGTTTTTTCTCTCTACCAGAGGTGAGTTGTATGATCTGGCAACCGTATTTTTCATTCATTTTAACCTACAAAAAATTAGCCGGTCGATCAAAAATTAGTTTACCTTCACAAGAATTAATTTAAATAGATTCAAATGAAAAAAGAAAAACAGTTACCATATAGTACATGCACAATGGTTTGTGTGAATTCCTTTCCAAATAGGATTTTAGTAAAAACATTAATATCGATTTTACAAAAAATTCTGACGTGATAGTGGTAAATAAAGGTCATTTTCGGAATCAGCACATCAAATAACATATAAATCAACAATAACTTCTCTTGTATTTTTCAAAAACTTCAATTTCGCAGGTTTCTGTTATTGGCTGTATGAATGACTTTTTTTAAACAAATGCTAAAAAACTGATAACATAATGTGTGCTGTTAATTAAAAGTTGTAGAAACGTGATTCTTTATTCAAAATTCAGTTTTAAGCTACTGTCTATATGTATTTTGTCACAATCTTATATTCTTAATATGTTTGGTTCCAATGCTCCAATTTTGTTTAAAAAAGTCATTTCAAGAGAAAAGTAATGTTGTGATATAGATAGTCTTGTTATGACTTGACTCAAAATTCCGTCTTCACGTGGTTTATATAAATGTTCAGACAAAAGTTATTTTTGTAAAGCTTTTAAATTTTGCTTAAAATTTTATTTTTATTGTTCAATAAATCTGCTTTGTCTTCACTTTGCTTACATAAAAAGCTTTTACAGGAAGAAAGCTGTAATGATTCAAACGCAAATACGAACTCATACCCAGACTCTAGTGATATTTTTCCTGAAGTAAGTCTAACTTAAAATATTCTTATTAAAATTTGTTCAATTTATGAGCCTGGTGTTCATCATCATATTTCAATTTGTGCTTACTTTTTATACAATCTAAATATAATGATGCTAGAATGTTGAAGTTTTGTAAAAATTTTGGATATTAGTCAAAATTAAATTATTGTATGTTTGATTGACTTTTTTTAAACAAATGCTAAAAAACTGATAGCATAATGTGTGCTGTTAATTAAAAGTTGTAGTAAAGGGATTCTTTATTCAAAATTCAGTTTTAAGCTACTGTCTATATGTTTTTTGTCACAGTCTTATACTCTTAATATATTTGGTTCCAAGGCTCCAATATCATTTAAAAAAATCATTTCAAGAGAAAAATAATGTTGTGATATAGATAGTCTTGTTATGACTTGATTCAAAATTCTCTCCTAACATGGTTTATATAAATGTTCAGAAGAAAGTTATTTATGTAAAGCTTTTAAATTGTAACTAAAATTTTATTTTTAATGTTCGATAAATCTTTTTTGTCCTATTTTCGCTTATATAAAAGGCTTTTGCAGGTTGAAAATTATAATGCATCAAAATCAAATGAGAACTCATCATACCCAGAATTCATTGATGTTATTCGAGAGGTAAATCTAACTTCAAATATTTTTATTAAAATTTGTTAAATTCAGGAGCCTGGTGTGCATAAGAGATGAATATATTTGTAATAAAATTTTTACTTACTGTTACTGAAGAAACGAATGTACAGTCTGCAAAAAAAAAAAAGATATCACCCTGAATAACGTTTGTTCTAATGATCGGATTTTCTCGTACTAAGGGGCAATCTTGATCTTTCTTGGGGGTGACCTTAAATATGCAAATTATTTAGTGCTAACTATTGATTAAATCCCAAAATCGGACACAAAAACTTACTTTCTCTGTATAAGCTTATATATTTCTTAAACATATTTGGATTCTTAACTTTTAAATTATAGGGGGTAGCCGTAATCTGGAAAATATGGCCCCCATAGTTTGGTCAGGAGAGCAATCCAAAGTTCGGACCCATTTAATGTTAATTTCACTTTTTGTGTTTATAGTCATATTTTTAAAACTAATTATGCAATTAAAAAAAATTTCACTCACTTATAAAACTTATTTACCCAAAGATAATTTCATGCAAAAAATAATTTTTATGAATTATTTATTATTTTTTGTAATTTAATTGAAAGTGAAAAAATATTGAATCATGAGGTATGAATTTTTTTATACCATATTAATCTACCTATTTTTCTATTGCAAAATCTGAAGTTTGAACTGTTTTTATTTAGTAGAAGGTGAGAAAAATTAAATGTAATTATTTTTAAAAAAATAATTTGGTGACAATGAAGAAATATTTCGTTAGATGAAAAAATCCTCGTACGACATAAAAAAGTAGAGACAACATAAAATAACCCAAATAATGTCTGATATAAAGTTCATGTATTCAAATTCTCAAAGCTTAGAAAATCATCTGTAATTTATAAATTGATTGAAATTTTCATTGCAAAGGTGATTTTAAAAGAAAAAAATCTTTGCTTTTTAGACAAAAATCAGCTTAAAAATTGTCAATCGCCTAGACACTTTGAGTTATTTTCTATTAACTATTATTTACTGCGAGACTCATTAACTGCTTATTAACTCTGTGAGAAATCACAGAACATTATTTCAATTTTTTAATAGTTTAAAATTTGTTTCTTAGCAACCAAGTAAAATTAAGTATTTTTCTCTTGAATTAGTCTATGGGTTATCTTAAAATATTCATTTGCTGTGGCGACTTTACTTGGCCGTTATCAGGGGCTATCGCCAAATATATAAATCTTTGTCGAACCAATTTACGACCCAAATTTTTCGAAATTTTGTCTATTCCCCCAATTTCAAGGATCAGGATTCCAAATATGTAAAAAAAAAATATGTTTATTCAGAGGAAGTACGTTTTTGTGTCTGATTTCGTAACTTAATTAATAGTTAGCACTAATTAATTAACATATTTGAGATCACCCCCAGAAACCATTAAGACTGACACTTAGTTCGTGAAAATCCGATCATTAGAACAAAAGTTATCCAGGGTGATATAATTTTTTTTTCGTACTGTACCTTATATTGAATAGTCTTATTTGTCATAGTTTGTTATTATATTTTTTGTCATTGTTTGAAAAGTGCATTGTACATTGTGCTGCAATTGTGTGTACAGAAGATGTGAAGATAGCAATAGTCTGAGGCATCTATCCGAAAAGAACATACAAGTTCTAAATCCATATTATTTTTAACTTATTAAATTTTTTAACAAACAAATATTTGACTCTGTCAAAATATTTTATGAAGAAACTACAATTTTCAAATAATATTAATCACATAGATTTAGGTCATTAATATTTAAATGGACTTTATGTTTAGGAAAAACATAATGAGTTTTTGGAAATAATAAATTTTTACTATGGAAAAATTTCAAAATAAATTTATTTAAAAATGAATTTGATATATGAATTTAGATTTGTCTAAATATTTCTTTTCTTTTCATTTCTTTGTTTTTTAATTAGTTAAGTATTTTTTACCTTCTTTGTAGCTTCCAGTTATTACACTACCCTTTTTATGGGAATCTTATGCAGGAATTAGTCCCAGGATTTTACACTCCTCACCTCTGCATGCCACTGCTATAGCAGCAGAACATCTTTTTCACCAATCTGGTTTAACTCTTAGGTTTAGTCCTAGCTTTTTTTTCTGGTGTAGACTTTCCAGTATCAAAACAGTTTTCCTTATGATAATTTTGAACTGCTAATTTTTAGAAGATCTAAAATTCATCCTGTGATTTTTTTTAAACCAGGTTAATTGCAGGAATCATATACCTCAGGGAAAACTCAGGGGATTTAAATTAGCTAGAAAAGCTCAGGGTGAATAAAGAAAATTGCTAAAAACCTAGAAAAATTTAAAACTGGAAGAAATTGAAATTTTGGGATTTTTTTTCTAAGAAATTTTTTTAAAGGAAAAACAATTTTTTAATTGAACCCCTTTTGCAAAGTTTTTAACTTTCTGACATAAATGTGTCATTAACCAAACCATTTTTATTGATATGGCAATTTAGCTTACAAAAAAGCCTTCATTGAAACTTTAATTTTTTTTACTTTCGTGTTTGAATAAGTAATAATAATAAATAAGTAAGTTGAATAATTAATAAGTAATGAGTGGAAATGTATAACTAAATGGTTATTTTTAAAAGAGAATTTCTGTCCTTAGATATTTTAAAATTGTATTAAATGCTCTAAATTATATTCTAAAAAGGTTTGGAAAAATGTAAGTTTTTTGAAAATTACATATAGCTTTCTTAAAGTTGATGTAATATTTGTCATAATATATCTGTTTGCATTTTTAATATTGAGAGCACAAATAAGTTTCTGCTGTTTTCTATAAAAAATTAGCAGTTTATTGTGAAAAAAACTGTTCATTATCTTTTATTCAAAGTATTTTCCATTACTAGACTCTACATTTTCCATCTTTCTGAGAGCATTCCAATACCACATCAGAATAACTCTTCATCTTTCAAGGATATTCACAAATCGACCCATTTCTTGCTTTCTCTAAATGATGTAAATTTCTGCTCAGACAGATCATGTGCCATCAACTAGAATAGGTGATAATCTGGAAGGGCAAGGTCTAGCAAATACGATGGGGTAGGACTTACCATTGAAGTGTTTCCAAATAGCAAAATCAATTTGCATGCAAAATTGGTGTTAAATGTCTCTTGTCTTCAGTTCCTATGGAACCCAATTTCCTTGTATTTGGATCATTCCCAACGATTTTAAACATTGTGAAATTGTTTGCTGAGTCACTTATAATGCAAGTGCAAGTTTTTTTTGCGTTTGAAGTGAATCTTCCAATTCCTTGTCTTTGTACAATTTCCACCTTCCAATGCGTTCTTCGTCCTCCACTTCAAACTCACTGCTTTTTAAACTTCTAAAACCACTCAAGACAACTTCTTTTACTTTGAGCAGCCTCACAATAGGCTTCTCCGAGCAATCGATGCGCCTCTGCTGCAGATTTCTTCAAATTAAAGAAGTAAATCATAAGTTCCACAAATGACCTCCTTTTGGCCTAAAACGTGGCATTTTTGCAATTACATAGTGCTAATACGGAATCACTAATACTTTAAGGTTATGTTGTTGTAAGATGATGAACAAACTTTCAACACCAGACAATTTCTACATAACTTCTTCTGGTAGTGTCACCTTGTGACGAACGGCAGGAACTTATTTGTACACCCAATATTACAGTAGGTTTAGGTCATAAAAGTCTTAGCCCACCCCCAAAGGTGTATACGAGTACACTGAAGAACTCGGTGCGAGTACAAAACTGCAGAAAGTACAAGATAGTGGCATGAGTGCCTTCACTCTTGCCAACAGCAAAGCCTTGCATCAGAAGGGAGCACCAGAAGCTCAAATCGTGGCATACCGGGTTAAAGCCAGTGGGCAAAACCTCCTCAGAAACCCAGCACCTCGGGTGTCCCACTCACCCGTATAACATATATATATATTGAAATATTTTAGGTTTTTTCTCTTATGAAGCCAATAGCTCAAGACCAGTTATTGTTATTTCGATAAATACACAATTTCAGGCGAACTTAGGTTTAAAATACTGGAATACTTTATTGTCCAATTGAGGACAGGGTTAGAAAAAAATGAGTTTTTTTTATAAAAAAAAAACCCTGTAAAACCAGATTTTCTTATGATTAAACTAGTTTTTTTAATTTATTTAAAGCAAAAAGGTTGAATAACATGTTAAGCCCAATATTAAAAGTAATTTAACTATTAAAAAGTTTTTCAGAGATCTTTTAATCTATTGATTAATATTTTCATGAAGAATACAAACAAAAATATTCACCTTTGTTCATAAACATGTGAACATAATGAAAAATATATAACGACTAAAACCCTTGAATAATTTTTACAACTCTACGTAATAAGCAAATTAATATTTAATACCTTAACTATTTTTTAATAGGATTAAACCTATACGTAAAAATTAGTTTACTAGTTTACTTCCTTGATAGTTAGTATATAAAGAAATGTCACAATTCAGAATTATTTATTTTAATCTCCTTATTTAAGTAGTATACAACTAGTAGATTTAACATCAATTAATTGTTCTAAGTTAAACATTTGTTTTTATTTAATAAATCAATACAAATTCTAATATGAGTCAGATATTCAAGGCAATGTAATTTTTTAATTAAAAATATTTAAAATTCATAGAATGGGGAAAAGAAATGTAAAAGAAAAATTAACTGCATAAATATAAACATATAAAATAGTAAAAGTACATTTTTGTAAGAGTTAAAAAAATAAGGAATAAAGTATTTTTTTAACATGGTGGAGTTTTAAATTTAACAGCATTCTTATTAACGTATTGCAGCATTAAATAAATAAGAAAAAATACTTTATATATATAATTCTTTTTAATGAATTAAATATTTTTCTTTAACATTTTTTTAAAAATATTATTAAAAATGTAATATGGAAATTACAATAGAGAATATAAACATGCTCCATAAATACAATGGAAATTTATTTAAACTGGTGGCAAAAACAGGGATGAGATTTTTCCACTTTTTTAACTTTTGCCTCTCGAATTTCAGCCTTTTTATCAAAAACTCTGATTCTCTAATAGTTTTTTTTCATAAATATTCTGCTTTTTCTAAAAATTCAGTTGTTGAAATAAAATAATTATATTTATTTCCGATTATAAACGGAAAAGTCAAACTGTGTCATAGCTGCTAACTCTTCCGCATTTTTACTTGTTTTAGCTATTTCCTCTGCTTTTGGCTTTTGCATACAGAAAATAAAGTTTTCCGTATTTTTATGTGTCCGCCAGCAAACTCAAATTTGCGTAATTCTGATGTCGCTACTTCCAGTTTGCTAGCACGAAAGCAAACAAAATAATAAAAAATAGCGGATTTGCGCTGAAAATATTTCTTAGCTCATTCAACTAATCTTGTGAATTTTTATTTATTATTGCTAAACAAAAACAATACAAACTAGCCTTTTAAAAATTCTAAGTCCAGAATCTGCTAATATCTAGATTCTTATTCAAGCGATTTTAATATCAAACATCAAATTTTGTATTTACCTGATTTAAAAGTTGTGTATTTCGACTCTAATTCATGCGATTTAAATATGGTTCATTGTTATTTTTATTTACAAGATTTAAAAATCCAATATCACAATTTTACTATCAAACATCGATTTTTGTATTTACCTAGTTTAAAAGTTGCACTTTGTGATTCATATGATTCGTATTCAAGTGATTTAAAATTTATGCATCGTGAGTTGTATTTACGAATTACACATCATGATTTGTGTTTTCGCATTTTTTAAATTGGATATAGAGTTTCATGTTCGCATAGTTTAAAAGCCACATATCAGGATTCACATTCTCTCAATTTAAAATCAAATGTTGCTATACTTATTCACACAATTTTAAAATCAGGCATGTGATTCATATTTATGTGATTAATATTCATACAATTTTAAACTTAATCATCAGGATTTATAATCACATGGTTTAAAAGTTTGAAAATAGCACTTTTCTTGTCAAATTTTTGAACATCATAGCTACTTCATATTATATATATATATATATATATA